TCTGGGAAGCTAGGGACCAGGTTAGGAAAGCTAAGGCCCAGTTAGAATTAAACTTGGCTAGGGATATTAAGGATAACAGGAAGGGATTCTACAGGTACATAGCAAATAAAAAACAGATTAGGGAGAACGTAGGCCCCCTCAGGAAGCTCTCGGGTGAACTAGCTACACAGGATTTGGAGAAGGCTGAGGTTCTGAATGACTTCTTTGCCTCGGTCTTCTCTGGCAAAGGCTCTGACCGCACCACCCAAGTCTTGGAAGGCAGACGCAGGGACTGTGAGAATGAAGACCTTGGGCCCACTGTAGGAGAGGAACTGGTTCGAGACCATCTTAAAAATCTGAACGTGCACAAGTCCATGGGTCCTGATGAAATCCATCCGCGGGTCCTGAAGGAGCTGGCGAATGAAGTTGCTAAGCCACTGGCCATCATATTTGAAAAATCATGGCAGTCAGGTGAAGTTCCCGACGACTGGAAAAAGGGAAATATAACCCCCATTTTCAAGAAGGGGAAAATGGATGACCCGGGGAATTACAGACCAGTCAGTCTCACCTCTGTGCCTGGCAAAATCTTGGAGCAGATTCTCCTGGAAGGCATGCTAAGGCACATGAAAAACAACAAGGTGCTTGGTGACAGCCAGCATGGCTTCACTGAGGGGAAATCCTGCCTGACCAATTTGGTGGCCTTCTATGATGGGGCTACAGAACTGATGGACAGCGGTAAAGCAGTTGATGTCACCTACCTGGATTTGTGTAAAGTGCTCGACACTGTCCCACACGACATTCTTGTCTCTAAATTGGAGAGACATCAATTTGATGAATGGACCACTCGGTGGATAAAGAACTGGCTGGATGGCCACACACAAAGAGTTGTGGTCAGTGGCTCAATGTCCGGGTGGAGACAAGTTAGGAGTGGTGTCCCTCAGGGATCAGTGTTGGGACCGGTCTTGTCACATCTTCGTCACTGACATGGACAGTGGGATTGAGTGCGCCCTCAGGAAGTTTGCCCATGACACAGAGCTGTGTGGTTCGGTTGATAGGCTGGAGGGAAGGAATGCCATCCAGAGGGACCTTGACACACTTGTGAGGTGGGCTGATTCCAACCTGATGAAGTTTAACCATGCCAAGTGCAAGGTCCTACACCTGGGTCAGAGCAATCCCAGACACAGCTACAGGCTGGGCAGAAAAGAGATTCAGAGCAGCCCTGCGGAGAAGGACTTGGTGGTGCTGGTCGCTGAGAAAATGAACATGAGCCGGCAGTGTGCGCTTGCAGCCCAGAAAGCCAACCGTATCCTGGGCTGCATCAAAAGGGGTGTGACCAGCAGGTCGAAGGAGGTGATCCTGCCCCTTTATTCTGCTCTCGTGAGACCTCACTTGGAGTATTGTGTGCAGTTCTGGTGTCCTCAACATAAAAAGGACATGGATCTGTTGGAACAAGTCCAGAGGAGGGCCACGAGAATGATCAGGGGACTGGAGCACCTCCCATATGAAGATGGGCTGAGAAAGTTGGGGCTGTTCAGCCTGGAGAAGAGAAGGCTGAGTGGAGACCTCATAGCAGCCTTCCAGTATCTGAAGGGGGCCTATAGGGATGCTGGGGAGGGACTCTTCATTAGGGACTGTAGTGATAGGACAAGGGGTAATGGGTTAAAACTTAAACAGGGGAAGTTTAGATTGGATGTAAGGAGGAAATTCTTTCCTGTTAGGGTGGTGAGGCACTGGAATAGGTTTTCCAGGGATGTTGTGAATGCTCCATCCCTGGCAGTGTTCAAGGCCAGGTTGGATGAGGCCTTGGGTAATATGGTTTAGTGTGAGGTGTCCCTGCCCATGGCAGGGGGGTTGGAGCTTGATGATCTTGAGGTCCTTTCCAACCCGAACTATTCTATGATTCTGTCTCTTCCCTCTGCTCATTTTTCATTATCAATCTCACATTCACACATTCACACACACACACAGACAAACGAGATCCCACAGCTACACTCCACACACAACACTTGATACAGAGACGAAAATTCAACCAACCAAACAACAGTTAATAACACAGTTATAACATCCTGTCACCAGTACCAAAATCACAAGACCAAAATCATTACTGTAACAAGCAACAAAATAAGACGAATACCAGTAGAACCAAAAGGAGTACATCTTAACCCCTATGGCTCAGACCATATTGTAACATTAATAGGGATGTTTCCTTGAACCCTTTATAGTTGACCGGCCTGTCAGTGTCCCAAGAACGATGCGACACTTGTGTCCGACCTGCCTGTCTGCGTCCCACTGTGGGAACCGTACTGGAGAGCTGACTGTATCACAGGGTGATTCGACTAACCTATTCAGGGACCCATGCTGACAGCATGACTGAATCAAATCTTAGAATCATAGAATAGTTAGGGTTGGAAAGGACCTTAAGATCATCAAGTTCCAACCCCCCTGCCATGGGCAGGGACACCTCGCGCTAAACCATATCACCCAAGGCCTCGTCCAAGCTGGCCTTGAACTCTGCCAGGGGTGGATCCAAAACCATTTCCACAAGACACCCCTGCGTCTTGTAGGACCCAAACCACAAGAAGCCCCCTGCTTCTTGTATCTGTATACCAGTAAAATCCAAACCCTTTTCTACATGACGCCCACTGGGTCTTGCAGGACCCAAACCACAACATGCCCACTGCTTAGTTATAACAGTCTGTCACTGATACCAAAATCACAAGACCAAAATCCTTAATGTAACAAGCTACAAAATAAATCAAATACCAACAAAATCCAAAACCATTTCCACAAGACATCCCCTGTGTCTTGCAGGACCCAAACCACAAGAAGCCCCCTGCTTTTTGTTGCTGTATACCAGTAAAATCCAAAACCTTTTCTACAAGATGCCCACTGCGTTTTGCAGGATCCAAACCACAAGATGCCCCTGCTTCTTGTGGGTGTATACCAAACAGAAGCTAGCAGCCAGGTATATGCCTTTACCTACAAGATTTCCTATCTCGATTTATGGAAGGCTTCCAAACCTTGCATACACTTACCAAACCAGCCCAATTACCAATTTAGTCTTTATGCAAGATGCCCCTTCCACCTTACATCCTATATAAAAGAATACCTTTTATGTGATGGTCCTTGTCTGCTCCCACAGTGATCTGAATGAGTTGAGGGGTCCCTCCGGGAAAAACTCCCGAGGGCCCTAGGGAGCCCTGTCCTCAGCGGGTCCTGCAGCTGAGCAGAGGGGGTCCCATCTGGGGTGCCAAATTGATTTGGAGAAAACTCCAGGAACAAACTTCCCAACAAAGTTTTCAAGCTGACAAGCAGGTATTCTTTATTGCAAAGCTGGGAGACACGGGGGATAGCTCCTCCTAACATGTGTCCCCCAGTTGCCACACAAGCCATCCTTATATAGTCCCTGGACATACATACGTATTCATGAGGCTACATATGGATTACATCATTTTCCAGAAAGTTCCCCGCATGCGTACAGAATTGTGGTGGTGGTCGCTGAGGGTCGTTTACTTCTTCCAACAATCTTCATCACTTTTAGCAGCCTTTGGAGCACACGCAGTAGATGCTTATACCAGTTTAATTGGTTCGTTAGCACCAGAGACATAATAATCCTCCTGTCGTCCTACTTACCAGTTAGTTTAACTGTAGCCCATCCTGGACACCTGCCATTCCCAGATAGTCCTTATCCCTGTGTCCTGTTCTTTTAGACTGCTTTTCTTAAAACTATGTCAACTGTAATGATTTATTTTGTACAAGAATTCTCAGTATGTTCTCTAGCTGTACTCTGCTTTTTTTTCTCTATGTGTCATGCACCTCAATAATTTTCCATTGCTACTGTTACAAAGCCATCAAACTTAACACTACTTAAAACTGATTCTAAAGGTTTATATATTTCATTTTGTAATTTTGTGCTCCCCTTTGTCTCAATCACCTAAAGAAGATGGTATCCAGAATCTGTGAATGTGTTAGATCTGACTGCTGTTGTGGTTACTTTTTTCAGGACTATCTTACTGAGTGTGATCTCTTTGCTTAATGAGCCCAACACATTCTCTCCTGCCAATGTGGATGCATCAGTCATGTTCAGGAAATGGAGGGACAGTAAAGGAAAAGACAAAGAATATGCTGAAATCATAAGGTAAGCTTTGTCATGTGTGATGCTGTACTACTGGCCTCCTGGTTTTAATCCTATGGAACAGGTTGCTTGCAGAATTTGCTGAAACCAGCTTCTTGCTGTGGTTGCTCCTTTCAAAATGAATTTTACAGTCTTATTCCAACTCTACGCTTCTGGTCCTTTTAGTATTTTCAGCACACAAGTGTTGCAAACTTGGTCCCATGCTTGACCTTGTGGTCACCAACAGGGAAGGGCTCATTAGAAATGTGACACTGCAGGGCAGCCTTGGATGCAGCGACCACGAGATGGTTGAATTTCAGATCCTTAGGACAGTGAGAAGAGCGTGCAGCAAGCTCACTGCCCTAGACTTCAGAAAAGCAGACTTTGGCCTCTTCAGGAACCTGCTTAGTAAGGTTCCATGGGATATACCCCTAGAGGGCAGGGGGGCTCAAGACTCTTGGTTGGTCTTCAAGGATCACCTGCTACAAGCTCAGGAGTGTTGCATCCCAACTAGAAGGAAGTGCAGCAGGAGGGCCAGGAGACCTCCTTGGATGGATAAGGAGCTCCTGAGGAAAATTCAAATGAAAAAAGAGGCTTATAGAAAGTGGAAGCAAGGACAGGCGGCCTGGGAAGAGTACAGGGTTATTGTCCAGGAAGCTAGAGACCAGCTTAGGAAAGCTAAGGCCCAGTTAGAATTAAACTTGGCTAGGGATATTAAAGATAACAGGAAGGGACTCTACAGGTACATAGCAAATAAAAACAGATTAGGGAGAACATAGGGCCCCTCAGGAAGATCTCGGGTGAACTAGCTACACAGGATTTGGAGAAGGCTGAGGTTCTGAATGACTTCTTTGCCTCGGTCTTCTCTAGCAAAGGCTCTGACCGCACCACCCAAGTCTTGGAAGGCAGACGCAGGGACTGTGAGAATGAAGACCTTGGGCCCACTGTAGGAGAGGAATTGGTTCGAGACCATCTTAAAAATCTGAGCGTGCACAAGTCCATGGGTCCTGACGAAATCCATCCGTGGGTCCTGAAGGAGCTGGCGAATGAAGTTGCTAAGCCGTTGGCCATCATATTTGAAAAATCATGGAAGTCAGGTGAAGTTCCCAATGACTGAAAAAAGGGAAATATAACCCCCATTTTCAAGAAGGGGAAAATGGATGACCCGGGGAATTACAGACCAGTCAGTCTCACCTCTGTGCCTGGCAAAATCTTGGAGCAGATTCTCCTGGAAGGCATGCTAAGGCACATGAAAAACAACAAGGTGCTTGGTGACAGCCAGCATGGCTTCACTGAGGGGAAATCCTGCCTGACCAATTTGGTGGCCTTCTATGATGGGGCTACAGACCTGATGGACAGCGGTAAAGCAGTTGATGTCACCTACCTGGATTTGTGTAAAGTGCTCGACACTGTCCCACACGACATTCTTGTCTCTAAATTGGAGAGACATCAATTTGATGAATGGACCACTCGGTGGATAAAGAACTGGCTGGATGGCCACACACAAAGAGTTGTGGTCAGTGGCTCAATGTCCGGGTGGAGACAAGTTAGGAGTGGTGTCCCTCAGGGATCAGTGTTGGGACCGGTCTTGTCACATCTTCGTCACTGACATGGACAGTGGGATTGAGTGCGCCCTCAGGAAGTTTGCCCATGACACAGAGCTGTGTGGTTCGGTTGATAGGCTGGAGGGAAGGAATGCCATCCAGAGGGACCTTGACACACTTGTGAGGTGGGCTGATTCCAACCTGATGAAGTTTAACCATGCCAAGTGCAAGGTCCTACACCTGGGTCAGAGCAATCCCAGACACAGCTACAGGCTGGGCAGAAAAGAGATTCAGAGCAGCCCTGCGGAGAAGGACTTGGTGGTGCTGGTCGCTGAGAAAATGAACATGAGCCGGCAGTGTGCGCTTGCAGCCCAGAAAGCCAACTGTATCCTGGGCTGCATCAAAAGGGGTGTGACCAGCAGGTCGAAGGAGGTGATCCTGCCCCTTTATTCTGCTCTCGTGAGACCTCACTTGGAGTATTGTGTGCAGTTCTGGTGTCCTCAACATAAAAAGGACATGGATCTGTTGGAACAAGTCCAGAGGAGGGCCACGAGAATGATCAGGGGACTGGAGCACCTCCCATATGAAAATGGGCTGAGAAAGTTGGGGCTGTTTATCCTGGAGAAGAGAAGGCTGCGTGGAGATCTCATAGCAGCCTTCCAGTATCTGAAGGGGGCCTATAGGGATGCTGGGGATGGACTCTTCATTAGGGACTGTAGTGGTAGGACAAGGGGTAATGGGTTAAAACTTAAACAGGGGAAGTTGAGATTGGATGTAAGGAGGAAATTCTTTCCTGTTAGGGTGGTGAGGCACTGGAATAGGTTTTCCAGGGATGTTGTGAATGCTCCATCCCTGGCAGTGTTCAAGGCCAGGTTGGATGAGGCCTTGGGTAATATGGTTTAGAGCGAGGTGTCCCTGCCCATGGCAGGGGCGTTGGAACTTGATGATCTTTCCAACCCTAACTATTCTATGATTCTATGAAACTTCTGGAGTAAGTGTACCGGGCTGATCCGTCTTCAACTGGGATTTACTGTCAGCAAATAGGTTTTGCAGAGCATCATGCCAGATCATCAATTCAAAGTCCCCATTTGACTCTGAGCACTGCTTGCATTGCTTGGGTTGATTCAAACTGACTGCATCCTACTATTTTTGTGCTTAATGAACTCATGAATCATCATTTTGTCCCCCTAATTCAAAAGAATATCATCAGAATTTGGCAAGCTCTTGCAAAGCTGGGTTTAATTAGAAGCACTGTTCAGTCTTGATTGTACTTTGAGAAGTTCATGGTTCATCAGGTGCTGTAGGGAGATCACATAAACTTGAGCCAGGGTTGTTGTGGAGTGGCGGATAGGCAGCCCATGTTGCAGTGGGACTGCTGTTGTGCTTGCCTGGGGCAAGACCACATCTGCATTGACTCCGCTAGCTGGGTATCACAGAATGGATGTTCGCCTTAGGCCAGTTGACAAGATATGTTAGGGAGACCCTCCCACTGAGTCAAATTCTGCCAAATTCTTTTGGGAATTGCAGTCTTGAGCATGTTGGTGTAATTGGTGGTAGAGGGTAGCTGTGGATGGTATCTCTGAACCTATCTCAATAAGTCACCTTAGCAAATCCCTAACTATCCCTTCTGTAACAAATGTAATGAAATTTGCTCTGAGCTCTAGAAGGTCACTAATGTGGAATCCTGTAGAATAACTGATTTCATATGTTGCTGAGAGCATGTGTGCTGCAAACACCCTTGGAGTGCTCCTAAGCCTGGGGCTGTGGCAACTAAATCTGTTTCTAATGCTGCTTATAGTGCTTCAGCCAAACATCAGCTCTCCTGACTGAGGTGCCAGGAGGGCCGGGGCTGGCTGGGAGGTGGGGAGTTGAGCCATGCTGCCAGCACATGGCTCTGCTCACATTGCTGTGCCCTCCTCCCTGCAGGAAACAAGTTTTGGCCACTAAAGTTGAGGCAGAAAAGGATGGTGTGAAGGTCCCCACTACACTGGCAGAGTACTGCATTAAAACTAAAGTGCCTTCCAATGACAACAGTTCAGATTTGCTTTATGACGACTTGTATGATGACGACATTGATGACGAGGACGAGGAGGATGCCGACTGTTATGATGATGATGATTCTGGCAATGAGGAGTCGTGACCTACTCCCTCTATGCCCCTGTACTGCCTGATGACTCAGGCCAGAAGGGAGCAGTGGTAACCTAGCAGCAGTCCAGCAAAACCAGATGGGGGGTGGGGGGGGGGGTGTGGGTGTGATGTGTCAAAAAACCCTGTCTCCTGTTGTATGGCTGTTTGCTCCTTTTTTTAATGGACCTCTTAAACCCTTTACAGAACGTTTTAATTCTTGCATTTTAACCCTTTCATCGCTGTATTATGATTTCTTTTTTAAAAAGAAACTCCCTTTTTCACTTCTCTATGAAATGCTTACAGTGAAACAGGTTTGCTTGTGTTTAGATTCTTGAATTAAATACAATCTTACATTGAGATGTTTAATGTATTTAAAGCTGGAACAAACCCATTGGTTTTGAGGAGCTCAAGTGCTGCATTTACTGGGATCTAAAAATCCATACAAAGCAAACTGCCATGGTTTAGCTGCTCCATTTACAATAATAGCATGTGTACAATCATTTTGCCTTGTCATGATGGCTTTTCCTTTATAAGATAGAGGGGTGAAGAGTATAAAGCTACTGTGTGTTGAGCTTAATGGGATGTCACCGAAAGGTACAGTATTCCTTTTTAGACTGCTTAAGAAGTTAGGAACTAGCTGGCCCCTGGAGCCCCAGAGGCCACAATCATCAGCTTTGTCTCTGAAAAAGGTTTGTGATATGAACCCTAAAATAAACACTTAACACTTCACATCTGTACAACTGAGCCCTGGATTGCTATTTATTTATCCATATATTTATTTATTTATTTCAACTAAGTTGGGATTGGAAAAGCTCAGTTTAGCCATGCTGCTGAGATCTGCTGCCAACTGCCCCTCTCCTGAGAGAGGAAAACAGAAGTGCATCCTGCTGCCCAGTGGGCCAGCATTCATCCCAAACTTGTCTTTTGGCAGCGGGAGAGACTGATAGCCTCCTGCCCCAGTGCTCACTAGCAGCCCTTGCTTCCTGCAGCCCAAGTCCAGTGCTGGCCTGAGCCTTTCTGTTGGTTATGTAGGCCACATGTTGGTAAATGCAGTCCTGCTATATCTCTGTGGGGTTGGCAAAAGTCAAAGCTGCCTTTGGTGCCTACCTGGGGTGGCTAGGCTGTGGCTGCTGGGGCAGAGTATGGATGTGTGCTGTGCTCTCCCCTGCCTGGCTGTCTGGGGCATGGGTGAGTGTGTGCAGCACCACAGGTGAGGAGACTGCACTGCTTTCAGGCTGTAGTGGCAAGGTTTGACAGGCTATTTAGCAGCATGCTTCAGTTGGTGCAGTCTCAGTCTCCTGCATGTTTTGGGGAGCTCTTTGCAGAGTTTAGGGCTCTCCCTTGTGTGCAGTGGGGATCCTGCGTGCTTATGTCTGCAGAACCTTCTTCCTCAGTCCTTCAACACCTTCACCCTGTTGCAGTGTGCTCTCATTTGGCTGTGGTGCAGTGGCTTGAATTCATCTTTTGCATGACCCCTTGATCAGCAGCCAGCCCTGCTCTCCTGCACTGAGCCCTGGCACCTCCAGGAGCAGATCTGAGATGCTGGCCCTGCTTGGGCAAGAGCCTCCATTCCTACAGGTACAGAGGCAGTTACCCTGATAAGAGCTGCAGGCTTGAGCATTTGTTTATGCCTCCCCTTTGTATATCTCAGGGTTTTTGTTGGTATGTCACCAGCTGCAGACCCTCAAGGGGTGCTTTGGTGGGAGTAAACTTTGCACTTGCTCACCCTTGTCCTGGTCCTTACCCCAGGATACATCTGACCACAGAATAAAGTGTGCTGCCTGGAGGGAGAGGCAGGGAGAAAGACTGGTGGGGTTCAGAAGTGATCAGGGCAGATGTGTTTTCAAAATTTTGCTTGACTGAGATTTGCTGCTGCAGGGACAGCCCCTGCTCCTATGCCCCAGGGTGGGCTGGGGGTGCATCCCTCTACCTCCTGCAGAGTAAAGGCTACCTGAGCTCTGGTTACCTTGTTGGGGGCCCCCCCCCCCCGCAGTGCTCCCTGTGATGGTCCACCCTCCTGTTTGCATGTTACCTAGGGAGGCAGCTGGACTCCCTCCTGAAGTGTCCCACATGGGCTAATTCAGTTTTCCTTCCAACAAGCACTGACTCTTGGTGCATTCTGGAGCTGGCATTAGGGCAATGTCAGTGTTTGCAAATGGGTCCCTAGTACACCTGGCTGCAGGACTGGTCTCAGGGCCACATTGGAGTAGAGAGGTCAGCCTCCAGATCTGGGGAGTGAAGGAGCAGAGTATGGCAATGTTGGCTGTGCTGATGACAGTTTGAAATGATACTGCATCTTCCAGGCTTGCCCTTGTATTTTTCACTATCCTCACTGAATACTCACCAGTAACTTGAATTTTCAAGCTTGGTAGTGTAAGATGCATTATCATGACTCTTCTGTTACCCTTTTTTTTCAAGACAACCTATTTTGTGAGCTCCTTCATAACCAGAGTAATTTGTATTCCCCACTCCTATGCAGTGTCATTGCTTGTTGACCTGCTGTTTTTTTGTTGTTTACTGAAATACAAGGGGTTTAAGGGTATTTAAGAACCTATGGAAAAATGTTTACCTGATCTGTATTCCCCTTCAAATGCAGTTTCCACCTCTTCTGAAGCCAGCAGCATACACTAGATTTCTTAGTAGATTTTCTTAGCTGAAAGCCCAGATGGGTTGTTGTGGGCTTTTTTTAGTATAACTTACACAAAAGAATTAACTGATGCAGTTTTTTGTGTTGTCTTCCCCTTCAATAGTTATCTTTTGTCTTTTTTGCACATCTGTCTACTAATAAAAATGTGAAATTAAGATATTTTTGGACTGTTACTTCACTGTTAATTAAGCTGGTTTATTTGCATGGTTTATTTAAAGTTTTGAATAACAGCTCTTTACAAGTTCATTGTTGCTCCAGTAGCAATGCCTATACATAAATATCTATAAGGTCATTGGAAAATAAAGCTTCTGGTTGACAGCTACATGCCTGAACAGGCAAAAGGCCATGGGCTTTGTTGTTATATTTAGTCTTGCTAAGTCAGCAAAGGGGAGAGCAAGGAGAAGATGGTTCATGGTGTCACGACTGCAGCAGTGATGCAGGACTTGGGGTAAAGTTGCTGCTGCTGCCATGGGGCTGGGGTGTTGCTGGTGGCTGGTTCCCTGGCAGGGCAGAAGCACAGCAGAGAAAGCATGTGCAAGTGGAGAAGTTTGCTTTTGCAGTGCCTTGCTGCTGCGGTCAAGCTAAAACTAGCAGGACACGTGTACAGGAGTTGCAGTTACTGCACTTGAAATTGCTTGGAGGGCAGCAACTGTGGAGTCAAATGTGGTTGTGGCTTGAGTGGCCTTGCGCTTGAAGAATAGTGATGGCATTTCAGAGCTGCATTCCTGGATGAGTATCTATATTGAGGAATGGGATGGAGAGAGATGGTGCTGCCTGGGTCATCTGATTGGATCAGGCTAGTTTGTATCTCCTGCTTGGCTCCTACAGCACCAGGCTGCCCAGAGCTACCAGTAGCTTCTTAATCCAGAAGGTGTGGTACCAAAGCCAGGACAAGCTCTCAAGCCTGCCCTGCACTGGGTAAACCTGGCTGCCACATGTGCAAGTTGGTTGTGTTTGAGTTGTTTTGGTTTTTTTTTCCCCCTTTCTTTGATGGCTGAGTGCAGCTGAGCAACCTTGACTCTGCCATCACTGGTAGAACAGGGGATTAGTGAGGAAATGGCTGCAGAAGAGCCCTTCTGGAACCAACAGTGTAGGGAAAAGGGAAAATATCCTGTTTTGTCTTGCCTGGAGAGGAGGAGAGACACTACCCGTGGCTGACTGCAGTCAGGGCCCCAGAGCAAGGGGGGAAGGTGCTGGAATTGCCTTTGCTGTCTTGCGCTCGGGAAAAAAGGAGGATGCCGGAGGGCAATACAGCCCATCACCTCTACGTGTGGAAGTGTTGCCCTTTTGTACCCACAGCATCTGCTGAGGCTGAAAATTGTGCAGCTGGGGCCAGCAATGAAGCACTGGCTGACATCTTTGTGAAGACATCTCCCTTGCAGCTACTTAAGGGGCTGCTGTGCACTAACACCAAATTTCATCTGTTACCTTTTGCCACTTCCAACAGCTTCTGGACCCTAACAGACAAGCAAGGACTGACCTACACCTGTGGGGCAGCAGTGGAGTTCTATAAACAAAAAAGTTAAGTGTCTGAAGATGGGGTTGGTGGGGTGTTTTTCAAATGGCAGCTCTGACCACAGGTAAATTAGGGGCTGTTGCTTGGTCTCAGCTGTTGGTGCAACCCTTCTACAAGCTTGCAGCCTGCAGAAGTCTTGAGCCTGCAGAAGCATTTTGCCCTCCTTGACATTCATTCCCTAAAGCTGGTGACAGTGGGACAGCAGCTGGTGGCTTGACCATTATCAAAACTTGAGCTAGAGCAGAGGAAGGCCAATGCAGTTCATGTGCTACTCAGAGGGGAAGAGGAATGCTGAGTGACACACTGACTTCTGGCAAGTGCATCCCACAGAATTAGAAAGTGCAAAGAAGACCCTCACCTGCAGCATGGATACAACATGGCTTCACATTTACCTAGCCCCCTCTGCTGTGAGGGGCAAGGATGTTCAGGAAGATGGGCCTAGGGCAGGAGCCATTCCTCAGGAGCCTTCACCACTGACCTTGCTCCTGGTGGAGACCATGCCATGGCCAAAGCAAGAGAGGGTAATGCTGCAGCTGTGCTGCCTCCTTACCTATCCCAGCTGCTCCACAGGGACTCAGAGCACAATGCCAGAGATATGATGCTTATGACCAGGATCCAATCCCTGTTACAGGTGCCTCTGAGTTCTCATCACTGAGGTGCACTCACCTTTGTCAGTATTTGGCATCCCCTGCAGACCCAGCTGCTGCTGTTACTCTCTAGGCAAGTAGAAATGGATAGGCTGAGCTCCTGAAACCTTTGAAAATGCAGACAAATATCAGTGATATGCTTCGGTCTTTATTAGGTGGAGGAAGGGCTAAAACAAAATGAAACTTCAAAACCGTTCACTGCAAGACCAGGAGTTGCCTCCAGGGTCTTGTTTTAAAAAAAAGTGGGGATGGACAGGTGAAGTGTCCATCTAGTAGCTCTGGCCTTCCTGGGCGATGTGACCCAGGGCAAAGAAAGGCATAAGACATAACTTATGCTTTTATTTAAGAAATGGCTACATAGTTTTTGCCTCTAAAGATGCAAAGAAGGTTCCAGGATCCACTGAGCAATCTGAAATCTCTTGCTAGAGAAGCCAACCAATCAACAAACAAACCCCAACCAAACAAACAGGAAAAGCCTTTCCTTTTGTTTTTCTTTATTTTTCAATAAGAAGATGAGGCTACATCTCAGGGTTACAGTGAGCAAACTGCCCACAAGACTTCATCTTCCACAGCAGGAGGGAGGAGACAAAAGAAAGGGGAAGGCCCACAAAACTTTTTTAAAACTTTTTTTTCCCCTTTTTTTCCCCTTTCTCTTTAAAGTAACAGCTAGATTGGGGGCTGTGAGCAGAAACAAAAGTAACAGAACACATTTTGATTTATTTTATTTTTGGAGGGGGGGGCGGTAGGCCTCCTTATTTGCCTGAATTTAGAGCTGCATTAAATAAATAGGCTTCAGCTAAAAAAAAAAAGAAAAGAACACCCAAAAAGACCAACAGTTTGTCTTTGACAGTTATAAAGCTTAAAAGCAAAAACAAGGAAGGATGCTCTGGTACAGAAGGAAAATTAATAATTAGTTTTCCTACAAAGAAAAGAAACCAGGCTCTACATACATAAATATATTACATACAACAGCAACTCAGAGGATGGATGGATGGATAGATGGATGGATGGCTGGCTGGCTGGCTGCATGGCTGCAGCTCTCCCCACACAGGCATTTGGCTGAGCAGTTACTACTTCTCCTAATAATTCCAGGAATGGTCTTCAGCTTTTTTTTTTTTTGCTTTTTTTTTTTCCTTCTCTCCTTTCGTTCTCTCCCTCCTCCCCAGTTTTGAATTTAGGTTGTCCAGTAAGGAGAAGTGCCATAGGTAGTTTTGGTAGCCTGAGACTTTTGCTGCATGGTGCTGGGCTGGTTACATTGGCCAGATCCACCCTAGAAATTGGAAAGGAAGGAGACATGGGCATCAGCTCCTATACCACCAGGGCTCCCAAGAAGACAAGCCTGTCTGTACACCAGCAGAAGAGCTACCACCCCCAGGGACACACCTGACACAGCGATGCCCCCCCCAAAACACATCAATTTCTGCTCTGTGATATCTCTGCATCTTGCAATGTAGGACAAACAGCCATAGAGACAGCAAGCAGGAACACAGGGACACACCATCCTGCTGCCCTGCCCCCCCCCAAGACAGGTTCAAGCACAAGGATGGAGAGAAGCAGGACTGAGGAGCTCTCTCAAGGTGAACGGAGGCAGTGCACCAGCCGAGGATGTAACATACATATTCTGAGAGAGAAGTAATTTTCTATTTCTGGACTCTAAGGCAGAACACTGTTTTTTCAGGGAACTTTTATAGAGAGGAAAGGAAATGAATGGGCTGGTGAAACGAAATCAGAGTTGATATGTAAACTGTAAGGGGATGCTTGATTTTTTACCCCCAGAATTACAGTACAAGTGCTCACATCCTGCTTTCCTGCTGCAGCCAGGGGACAGCAGCAACTGCCTCTGCTTCAGACCTCAAAGCCCATCTCTCCACACCACACAAGGATGGCCTCTTCACAGAATCACAGACTGGTGGAGGCTGGTAGGGACCTCTAGAGATCATCTAGTCCAGTCCCTCTGCTCAAGCCTAGAGCCAGTTGCCCAGGACCATGTCCTGACAGCTCCAAGGATGGAGACTCCGCAACCTCCTAGGCAAGCTGTGCCAGTGCTTGGTCACCATCACAGTCAAAAAGTGTTTCTTGATGTTCAGAGGGAAATTTCTGTGCTCCAGTCTGTTATCATGTTGTTGTACTTTGCAGTGCTGGGTTATGATATGACAGAATCACTGATCATGAGACTAATTTGGTATGTGTACTCATATTGTCATCACCTTTGTCTCTCAGGAGCCATTTGGTGGGAACTATTGATAATTATGCCTTCAGCTTTTCTCCTCAGAGAGCCAACGTTTAACAGGAACATCTTCCTCCAGCCAGCCTGCCTGCTTTCCTTCCTTCCAATATCCTTCTCCTCCAGGATAATTACAGTAGTATCTGAGAATTTTAAAGATTTTGAATATCCTTTGAATACCCTTGAAACCAAGATGGTTCTTTTGCTAGGCACCAGCATGTTGTTGTATATGGTTCAGATCTTGCTTAGGGTTTGTCCCTAAGCTACATGTGACAACTCCAACCCCTGTGAGAAGCACTGCAGCTCGAAGGAGAGGGACTCAGACTTGAGTGACAGGCACTATGGCTACTCAAACTCTGGCAACAAGGACTGCAGCTACTTCAACCCCAGCGACACACACTTTAACTACTCAAATCCCAGTAGCAAGCATTAGAGCTACTCAAACCCCAGTGACAAGCATTGGAGCCACTTCAAACTCTGCAACAAGCACTGTAGCTACTCAAACTCTTATGACCAGTACCACGGCTACTCAGACTCTGGCAACAGGCACCACAGTAATTTTTATCCCCATAACAAGTACTGCAGCCACTAAAACCCCAGCAGCAAGTATGGTGGCTATTGAAAATTTGGGGACAAGCACTGCAGCTGTTTTAATTCCTGTGACCAGTACTATACTATTCAACTCCCAACAAGAAGAACAACCACTCAGCCGTCGGTGATGAGCGATATAACTGAACCAGAGAACCAACCCATGTCAGTATCAGCTGTCCCTGTATGCAAGAGGAAATGGAAATTAAAAACAACTTGTTCAATGAAGGAGGAAGAACCAGGACCATCATCAGAACAGGAAGAGCAGGTAACCTCTTAATCCTTATCCTTGACTGATCTGTGGAATATGCGAAAAGATATCAGCCGTCTTCCAGGTGAGCACATCATCTGCAGAATCATGGAGAAGAAGTGGGATGGAAAACCCACCTCAATTCTATATGCACAGGTACATGAATTGCAAGGAAAAACAACTGTGGATCAGATGGCTTGGCATGTCAAAGCCACAGGATTATAAGGCTCTAGTAGACACCAGTGCACAGTGTACACTAATGCCATCAAGCTGTCAAGGGGTGGAACCCATCTATATTTCTGGAGTGACAGGAGGATCCCAAGAGTTGACTGTACTGGAGGCTGAAATCAGCCTGACTGGGAAGGAGTGGGGAGTTGAGCTGCTTCAGAGGACCCACTGTACAATAAACTGTCAGAAAGTGAGAAGCGATAAGCACTGGAGATGGAAGGCAGCTACATGGAGTCCCCTACAAGTTGCAGAAACTGATGAAGGAGAAGGTGAGACAAGTCACTTTGCAGAGGTGAAAGCCATCCAGCTGGCCCTGGACACTGCTGAACAAGAAAAATGGCAAGTACTTTATACTGATTCATGGATGGTAGCAAATGCCCTGTGGGGGTGGTTTCAGCAATGGAAGCAGAGTAACTGGCAACACAGAGGTAAACCCATCTGGGCTGCTGTGCTGTGGCAAAATATCACTGCTCAGGTGTAGAACATGGTGGTGAAGGTATACCACATAGATGCTCATGTACCCAAGAGTCGGGCCACTGAGGAACATAAGAACAACCAACAGGTGGATAAAGCTGCTAAGATTGAAGGGGCTCATGTGCATTTAGATTGGCAACATAAGGGTAAATTATTCTTTGCCCAGTGGGCCCATGGCACCTCAGGCCATCAAGGCAGAGATGCAACATACAGATGGTCTCATGATCAAGGGGTAGACTTAACAATGGACACTATTGCCCAAGTTTTTCACAAATGTGAAATACATGCTACAGTTAAGCAAGCCAATCAGTTAGTCTCTCTGGTATGGAGGACAATGGCTGAAGTACAAATATGGGGAGGCCTGGCAGACTGACTATATCACATTCCCACCAACCCACCAAGGCAAGCACCATGTGCTCACCATGGTGGAAGCAACCACCAGATGGCTGGAAACACGCTGTGCCCCATGCCACTGCCTGGAACACTATCCTGGGCCTTGAGAAACAAGTCTTTTGGCGACACAGCACCCCAGAGAGAACTGAGACAATGGGACTCATTTCCAAAACAATCTTATAGACACTTGGGCCAAAGAGCATGGCATTGAGTGGATATATCACATCCCCTATCACACACCAGCCTCTGCAAAAATCAATGGGCTTTTAAAAACTACACTGAGAGCAATGGGTCGTGGGACTTTCAAACATTGGGATACACATTTACCAAAAGTCATCTGGTTAGTCAACACTAGGGGATCTGCCAACAGGGCTGGCCCAGCCCAATCAGAACTTTTACGTACTGTAGAGGGGGATAAGTCCTGTGGTGCACATAAAGAATTTTCTGGGGAAGAGGGTCTGGGTTATTCCTGCTTCAGGTAAAGGCCAACCCATTCGTGGGATTGCTTTTGCTCAAGGACCTGGGTGCACTTGGTGGGTAATGCAGGAAGATGAGAGAGTACAGTGTGTACCTCAAGGGGATTTAATTTTTGGTGAAAACAGCCAGTGAATTTAATTGCATGCTGTTGCCTGCTGTATAACACTTCTATGGTAGCTAGATGCCCATCACTGCACTGGGCACCCCCACCGCTCTGGACTTGGGGGCCTAACCCCAACTCCCTTTCAATAATCATATTAACATAGAATGAATTTTGATTAATCTGGATGAGTGCAGTGGTGATGATAATAAGAACTGGCTTTAGCATGCAACAATTCAACACCACACACCATCTCTCCTGCCCTGAAGGACTGTTATTACAAATGGTGCCCAATGTCATGGACTGAATGAACTCAACTGACTCTTCTAGGGATGGCCCATACACTAAAGGAGTGACATGTGTATGTGTTTATGTATCTCAAGAGATAGAAAAGTTGATGTTATATCAGAAAATATGAGATCTGAGCATGATGTAACTGTTATGGAATAAGGGGTGGATACTGTCCTGGGTTCAGCTGTAACAGCTGTTTTTCTTCCTTCTTGTGCAGCGCTGTGTTTTGACTTTAGTCTGAGAACAATGATGGTAACAGACCAGTGTTTTAGTTGTTGCTCAGTAGCACTTACCCTGATCAAGGACTTTTCAGTCTCATGCTCTGCCAGTGAGGAGGGGCAAGGGAAGCCAGGAGGAAGCAGAGACAGGACACCTAACCAAAACTAGCCAAAGAGGTATTCCATCCCACAGCACATCATGCCCAGTATATAAACTGGGGGGAGTCACATGGAAGAGATCAGTCACTGCTCAGGTCAGGCTGGGTACTGGTCTGCAGGTGGTGAGCAATAGTATTGTGCATCAATTGGTTTCCTGAATTTTTATTTCTCCTTTTTCATTGCTCCCTATTGTTAGAGTTATTCTCTTCCCCCATCCCACCACGGGTGGGTGCATGGTACTTAGTTGCTGGCTGGGTTTAAACCACAATAGTGCATTGCATCTGGTCCTGTCACTGGGCACCACTGAAAAGAGCCTGGCTCCATTCCCTTAACACTCTTCCTTCAGGTATTTATATAGATTGCTAAGATCCCCCTGAGCCTTCTTTTCTGCAAGCTGAGCAGTCCCAGGTCTCTCAACCTTTCCTCATAGGAAAGACGATCCAGTCACTTCACCATCCTTGTGGCTCTTTGTCTCTTAAATACATCCATGTATCTCTTGTACTGAGGAGCCCAGAACTGAACACATGACTCCAGGTGTGGCCTCACCAGTGCTAAGCAGAGGGGTAGGATGACCTTCTTTGACCTGCTGGTAGTACTTTGCCTAATGCAGCCCAGGATGCCTTTGGCCTTCTTTTCATCAATGGCATATTGTTATCTCATAGTCAACTTGGTGTCCACCAGGATGCCCAGGGCCTTTTCTACCAAACTGCTTTGGGCCCCAGCATATACTGATGCATGGGGTTGTTCCTTCCCAGGTGCAGGACTTTGCACTTCCCCTTGCTGAATTTCATGAGGTTCCCTCCCCAAGCTGGTCAACAGTCTGCAATCATTGTCAAGGCCCTTTCCCAATGAGCAAAGCAAAAAACCAGACATTAGCAAAAACCCCCAAGTTCCTGCTGGGATGTGGGTGGGAGCAATTTGCCCTTGGGCACACTGTAGATGTGGAATGGACCAACTCACCTGCCCATCTTGTTGAAGATGGTGATGCAGCATCTGGGAATGAGGCTGCTGATGTGCAGGCAGGATATGGAGAAATGGGGCTGGAGCATAACCTGGGGCAGCACCAGGATTCAGGGGCCCAGTCGATCCGGGAGCAGAGGGCAGGCTGAAAGGAGATGGTGTGCCAGCGTGGAATCCCTGCTTGTCAAACATCTGCATGGGAGGTGAGGGGTCAGCATCAGAGACTGGTGTGAGCAGCCCCACAGTGACCAGACAAGAACAAGAGTGGCCCAAACACGAATGACCTGAACTTTTCACCAACCCCATGAGCAAGCAAAGTCACACCTGTGAGGACTTCAGCAGATGAGTTTCAGCTTCTGTTCTCATCCATACTTCTGTACTAATGCCCCCAATATTTTATTTCCACAGCTACTATGCTCCTTTTTTCACTGACCTCTTTTTTACTCAGCAGGACATGGGATGGCAGCAGCTGCCTGAAATCAGCCCTTCACACATTGCATGGGCTCAGCCTGGAATTATTCAACCTACCCAGAGAGGCCCAACAAAAACACAAGAAGAATTTGCAATGAGATTTTCCTCCCCCTTGCCAAAGCTCAACCCAGCTTCCCGATTCAGCTGCTTTGGGCGCTATTTTGACGAAAAACGTTAGTCCTTTGCCTAATGCAGCCCAAGATACCATTTTGCATGCCATCACACTTCATTTGCACCCAGAACACAGCACATGTGGGGCAGCATAGAACACTACACCTATGCCAGCAGCTGCCATCAGGAAAAACATGCCACATGGCAAAAGCAGTGAGACAGAGAATGAGACTCTTCTCCAACAGCAGAGCCAATGTAAGAAATGCCATAGCCTGCTGACCAACTGGCCTGGGAATGGTCCTAGCCAGCAGTGCTCCACAGGGGCAGCCATTAGCCTGGCCTCAGGCTACAGAGGAGGGTCCAGTATTATTCACCTGAGTCTTGTTATAGACTGAGCCACTGATATCAGGTACACCTGTGTTACTTGAGGTCCCAGAAACACCTGGAAAACAAACAAAAAAAGACATCAACAATGAGAAAGTCAACCACCCTCCATATGCTTTGCTCCAAGCATCCACAACCTCGATGGATGCATCTTTGCCTGCAGCCACTGTACTACACACCCTGCTGCTACTGCTGGCGGTCAGCCTGGCAGGGTTGTCCACACTGTCAGACCCACATGAGAACAGAAGAAAGGACTCAGTTCCTCACATTGCAAAGCAGGAAACCAGCCCACTGGGATAAATCACCCACATCCATGACCCAGCAGTTACTGCTTGGGTTCAAATGCTCTTCACCAGGCAGCACCCAACACTCATTTAAGCTCCAGAAAAGCCATGGAGACTGGTGGTGAGTGGTGCTCCTCAGGGGTAGGTACTGGGACCGGCACAGTTCAATATCTTTGTTGGTGACATAGACAGGGGGATTGAATGCATCTTCAGCAAGTTTGCTGATGACACTAAGCTGTGTGTTGCAGTCCTCATGCTGGAGGGAAGGGATGCTATCCAGAGGAACCTTGATAGACTCAAGGGGTGAGCCTTATGAAATTCAACCAGGCCAAGTGCAAGGTCCTGCACTTGAGTCAGTGCAATTCCAAGCACAACTACAGGCTACCAAGAGACTGGACTGAGAGCAACCCTGTGGAGAAGCACTTGGGGGTGTTGGCTGATAAAAAGCTCAACATGAGCCGGCAGTGTATGCTTGCAGCCCAGAAAGCCAACCATATGCTGAGCTCCATCAAAAGGAGCATGACCAGAAGGTCAAGGGAGGTGATTCTCCCCCTTTGCTCCCATGAGACACCCCCCCCGCCCGCAGTCCTGCGTCCAGCTCTTGAAGGCAACAACTCAAGAGGGATGTAAAGCTGTTGAAGTGAGTCCAGAGGAGGCCATACGGATGCTCCGAAGGCTGGAGCACCTCTGCTATGGAGACAGGCTGAAAGAGATGGGCTTGTTCAGCCTGGAGAAGAGAAGGCTCCCAGGAGACCTCATAACAGACTTCCAGTTCTGTCCTGGTTTCAGCTATAACAGGTTTTTTTTTTATTCCCAGTAGCTGGTACAGTGCTGTGTTTTGGCTTTAGTCTGAGAACAATGCTGATAAACCAATGTTTTAGTTGTTGCTAAGTAGCACATACAATGATCAAGGACTTTTCAATCTCTCATAGAATCACAGAATAGTTAGGGTTGGAAAGGACCTTAAGATCATCTAGTTCCAACCCCCCTGCCATGGGTAGGGAAACCAAGTCACCCAAGGCTCAATCAAACCTGGCATTGAACACCACCAGGGATGGAGTATTCACAACCTCCCTGGGCAATCCATTCCAGTGCCTCACCACTCTAAAAGTAAAGAATTTCCTCCTTATATCCAATCCAAACTTCCCCTGCTTAAGTTTTATCCTGTTAACCCTTATCCTATCCCTACAGTCCCTAATGAACAGTCCCTCTCCAGCATCCTTGTAGGCCCCCTTCAGATACTGGAAGGCTGCTATGAGCTCTTCATGCAGCTTTCTCCAGGTTGAACAGCCCCAACTTTCTCAGCCCATCTTCATATGGGAGGTGCTCCAGTCACCTGATCATCCTCATGGCTCTCCTCTGGACTTGTTCCAACAGTTCCATGTCCTTTTTATGTTGAGGACACCACAACTGTACACAATACTCCAAGTGAGGTCACACGAGAGCAGAGTAGATGGGCAGGATCACCTCCTTCAACCTGCTGGTCACGCTCCTTTTGATGCAGCCCAGGGGTACAGTCAGCTTTCTGGGCTGCAAGCATACACACTGCTGGCTCATGTTCATTTTTTCATCGACCAACACCCCCAAGTCCTTCTCCACAGGGCTCCTCTGAATCTCTTCTCTGCACAACCTGTAGCTGTGCCTGAGATTGCCCCGATCCAGGTGTAGGACCTTGCACTTGGCATGGTTAAACTTCATAAGTTTGGCATCAGCCCACCTCACAAGTGTGTCAAGGTCCCTCTGGATGGCATTCCTTCCCTCCAGCGTATCAACTGAACCACACAGGTTAGTGTCATCTGCAAACTTGCTGAGGGTGCACTCAATCCCACTGTCCATGTCACCGACTGTCGTGGTTTAAACCCAGACTGTCACTCAGAAACCATGCAGCTGTTCGCTCACTCCCCCCTCTTCCTCCTCCCGCTCCTGGAGGGATGGGAAAGAGAACAGAAAGAATGTACCAGTCCAGTAACTAACCTATAACACAAAACCACTACTGCTACCACCAATAATAATGATAAGGGAAATAACAAGGGAAGAGAATACAACTGCTCACTACCTGCCGACCGATACCCAACCCAACCAAGCAGTGATCTAGCCCTTCCGGGTAACTGCCCCCAGTTTATATAGTGGGCATGACGTGCTGTGGTATGGAATACCTCTTTGGCTAGCTTGGGTCATGTGTCCTGTCTCTGCTTCCTCCCAGCTTCCCCTCCTCCTTGGCAGAGCATGAGACTAAGAAAGTCCTTGGTCAGAGTAAACATTACTAAGCAGCAACCAAAAACATCGGTTATCAGCGCTGCCCCCAGGCTGAAAGTGTGCAGTACTACACCAGCTACTAAGGAGAAAAACGACTGCTACTGCTGAACCAAGGACAGTATCCACCTGTTATTCCATACCATTCACGTCATGCTCAGATCCCACATTTTCAATATACCATCACTCTTATCTCAAATATATACATATATATACATTCACAGAGAGAGAGAGAGATAATTCCTTAGTGCATAGAACAATCCCTATAAAGCTGCTGAGTTCATTTGGTCCATGATGTCAGGCTCCATCTCTTGTAACAGTCTTTCAGAGAAGGAGAGGCTGTGTGCAGTGCTGTATCATTGCCTACTGATGCTGATCGTTCCTTTATGGCAGAACTCGTCTGGTTTCATCAAAGTTCATTCTTGGGATGACGGTTGGAGGGAAGTCAGGGCCAGTTGCTGGTGACCTGAAGACATCTAGTTGGTGGGCTTATAGAAGTGCTACATAGCAGGCAATAGCATACAACTGAGTTCATTGGCTGTTTTCCCCTAAAATCAAATCCCCTTGAGGTATACATCAGACTTTCCATCTTCCCACATCACCCACCAAATGTATCCAGGTCCCTGAGCAAAAGCAATCCCACGAGTGGGTTTGCCTTTACTTGAAGCAGGAATAACCCAGACTGTCTTCCCCAACAAATTCTTTATGTGCACCACAGGAACTTTGTTCCTTGTACAGTATGTACACGCTCAATCTGATGTAACAATCTTTCAGGGCAGAAGAGAAGGCATGTAGTGTTGGACAGTGGCCTGCTGACAACACAGATGAACTCCTCTGGTCACTGCTGAGCATGTCTCATTTCATCAAAGGTCATTCTTTGTTGGGGTGATGATCGGAGGGAAGTCAGGATCAGTCAGTGGTGAACTGATTAGAGTACTGTGTGACTCCTGCTGCTGCCACAGGCTTTTCCCATGATTTTATTCTCTGATATGATCCTGAACAGCACATGTCTTTTGATTTGGAGAAAACTCCAGGAACAAACTTGCCATCAAAGTTTTCAAGCTGACAAGCAGGTATTCTTTACTGCGGTGCCAGGAAACACGAAGGATAGCTCCTCCTAACGTGTGTCCCCCAATTGCCACACAAGCTGTCCTTTTATAGCCACTGGGCATACATACATATTCATGAGGCTACATATGGATTACATCATTTTCCAGAAAGTTCCCAGCATGCGTACAGAAATGTGGTGGTGGTCTCTGAGGGTCGTTTACTTCTTCCAACAATCTTCATCACTTCTGGCAGCCTTTGAAGCACGCGCAGGAGATGCTCATACCAGTTTAATTGGTTCGTTAGCACCAGAGACATAATAATCCTCCTGTCCTCCTACTTATCAGTTAGTTTAACTGTAGCCCATCCTGGACACCTGCCATTCCCAGACACTCCTTATTCCTGCGTCCTGTTATTCTAGACTGCTTTTCTTAAAACTATGTCAACTATAACGATTTGTCTTGTGAGAATTCTCAGTATGTTCTCTAGCTGTACTCTACTTTTTTTTCTCCATGTATCATGCACTGCAGTAATTCGCCATTGCTACTGTTACAAAGCCATCAAACTTAACATTACTTAAAACTAATTCTAAAGGTTTCTATATTCCATTTTGTGATTTGGTGCCCCTTTGTCTCAAATTCCCCCGTTTTTCTGTCCTTTTGCAAATTCTTTTGCAACATTTTATATATTACCATTACCATCAAAAGTCTTTTTGAAATAATTTCTCGTTTCTACTTGGTGCTTAATGTCATTCCTTTTCCAACCTTCATAATTTATCATAGACTGTTTACAACACCAGAGGGAACACTGTATCAAGCCACAAGTAATAAATATTAAAATAATTAACACCAATATTCCTGCAACCTGTTTCCTTAACAAGGAGAGATTAGGTAACCATGAAGTTAACTTTTTCCATATTTCTTCAAAACCCCAGGAGGTGTCATCCATGGCCATTTCATGAAATATCTTAGTTTGTTTCCAAATTTTCTCCAGATCTGTTTCAATTCTGCCACTTTAGTCTGTATAGGAACAACAGCTTTCATTGATTATGGAAGAAACCCCTCTTTGTGATGCCACTAACATGTCTAGAGTCATTTAGTTTTGTAATATCACCTTAGATAGGCTGGTTATCTCTTGTTGTTCTGCCTGGATTATATCAATGTTTTTACTTGCCATTTCCTCTATGATTGCTGAGATATTTACAATTACCTTCTCTAATTCACTTACTGCCAAAGATGGAATTAGCCCTCTTACAAAACCATGAGATGCGGTGTGCCGTTCAATAATAGGGTTAAACCCTCGCTTCATTTGTTTAGCAAAACTTCTAATCCAGGTCCCGGAAGGATACCTGTCGATAGTAGTAAAATTTGGTATTACAGCACCTAAGGTGCATGCCCCCTTCCAGTTGGGGGGTAGAGTCTTATAAGCATCTTCTCCACATAACCAATACCATCCTTTCCCTTTAGGAACGGGCCACCACTGAACTACGATACCATCTATATTAAGAGTATGATTGCAATTTGAATGGTGACCTACATCTGTGGCATTTAAACAAGCATGATCTCCTACCCTGGTTCCTGGTGTAATACATCTTTGTGCTCAGGTATAATATTTATTACCTGGATTAGTATTAACTATCCCAAATTTTAACTTTTCCCTCGGACGTAGATTGCTAGTGTTCACCCACAAATTTGTCCATGAGATAG